GTGCTAATGTTATGTTTATTTAATTAGATAACAATAGCAATTCTGTTGGTAAGATTCAGTGTTAATGTTATGTTTATTTAATTAGATAACAGTAGCAATTCTGTTGGTAAGATTCAGTGTTAATGTTATGTTTATTTAATTAGATAACAGTAGCAATTCTGTTGGTAAGATTCAGTGTTAATGTTATGTTTATTATTGATGAGTTCTAAAATTCTTCAGAAATGGAGATGTATAGAAAAATAATTGTTAGTGATATGGAGTAAGGTGTTGTGCACCCTATCCATGCATATTGAACCACAGAAGACTGAAATCCATCAAAAGTAAAGCTTGTTATACAATCTTAGGTTTGAGGTTCTCTGTTGGAAGTTTACACGGTCAGATTTTTGCACTTTGGAAGAAACTAAAAGATAAAAAGGTATTAAAACAAAACACTACATACATTTAGCATGTTGCAGATGCTATTAAATCATCTAAATAGTGATATAGTATTCAATTTGAGAAGAGTTTGAAATGATACTACATCCGATTATAGAAATGTGTGTAAGCGGCTGCGAACTACAGTTTCAATTAGATGCTGTGCAGGTATGCCAAGATCAGCAAACGGTATTGACAATGAAACCACACTATTGAAATATGGCACATTTGGATAACACTTTTAACGCAGATGTTCATTTATTTTTATAATTTCGTATACTCTTAAAATGTTTACCTTATTTGTATTTATAACTATAACTGTTGCTGTGGAGCAATTTTGATATTTTTTGGTTAAAGCGTTTGATTTGCTGTTGTTCAGATTTTTGTAATTGGTACTTTTGGTGTATGGTGGATATGAACAAAATGTCGAAGGATATGACTTTGAAGTTGATCTTGATATTACATACACATATAATGTATGGACAAAAAGGGATATATTGGTGCATCTAGACTGACCCATCCACTATATTAAAGTTAACTGCATCTACTACATTTGAGAGCAGCCCATTCCAAAGGCCAATCAACTTGATATAAAAATAAAGCTGTGTTAACTAACAATAACTTCTACCTTGTCAAAATTTATATTATTATTATTTTCACCGTTAAATAATCAAACAAGATGATGTTCAACACTTAAACACCAGAGTTGCTTTCTTAACATAACATAACGTTTTCGGACAACAATTAACCTATTGATCCATCTCGGGTGTTCCATCCTCTAAACTAAACCAAAACTACTAATTAATAAATTTAAAGAAAAAAATCCTAAAGTCAGCCCTTATCATTCATATACTTATCAAGCTTCCTCTTAAGCTCACTTAAATTTACTGCCTCTACATCATCTGAAGACAACCCATTCCAAAGACCAACCACCCTGTTAGAAAAATAAACTGAAGATGACTCCTACCTGCCATAATTTATATTTGTGTCCCCTAGTCCTACTATTCTCACTGTTGAATATTAAAAGATGATGCATCAACATTATCAATTCCCTTTACAATCTTAAACACCTCAATCAGATCCCTTCTAACTCTTCGTATTTCAAGAGAAAATGATTTCAGAGGTTCAACCTATCATCGTTTGACAACCTCTCTATCTTATTAGCACTCTTCTGAACTTCTTCCAACAATTTCATGTACTTTATAAGTGAGTCTAAGACAGAACACAGTATTCCAAATGTGTCCCAGTTATTGATCTATAATTTCATGTACTTTATAAGTGAGTCTAAGACAGAACACAGTACTCCAAATGTGGCCCAATTATTGATCTATAATTTCATGTACTTTATAAGTGAGTCTAAGACAGAACACAGTACTCCAAATGTGGCCCAATTATTGATCTATAATTTCATGTACTTTATAAGTGAGTCTAAGACAGAACACAGTACTCCAAATGTGGCCCAATTATTGATCTATAATTTCATGTACTTTATAAGTGAGTCTAAGACAGAACACAGTACTCAAAATGTGGCCCAATTATTGATCTATACACTCAGATTATAATCCCTTAGATTTGTATACAGTACTTTTGTGGATGCAGCCTAAAATCTTATTTTCCCTGCCACCAGCAACAACACATTGGTTGGATGGCTTAAGAAACTGATCAGCCAGAATACCAAGATATTTTTTCTTCCATAACACTCTTAAGACTATTCCAAAAATAATAATAATAATAATACTGATAATTCAAATTGTGATATCCCATATGCATTACCTTGCATTTATTATAATTAAAATCCATCTGCCATTTATTCACCCAATTCACCAAATAATCCAAATCCTTTTGTAAAGCAACAGCATCTTCCTCACAGTCTGCAATTGGAGAGCTCTGCTCCATCATCTAACCCCTCCCGTCTGAGATACAATCTTTTAAGATTTTTAAAACTCTCTAGATTGAGGTTCCTTCTGACATAAAAGTGTTGTTTTTTTTCTGCTCCTTCAATCGTAATATTGATGAATACGTTTGTTTTAGACATAAACATAAGTATTTACTTATATTGTCGATACTTGGCACATGTTGAAAAGTGTTTACTTATATTGTCGATACTTGGCACATGTTGAAAGGTGTTTACTTATATTGTCGATACTTAGCACATGTTGAAAGGTGTTTACTTATATTGTCGATGGCACATGTTGAAAGGTGTTTACTTATATTGTCGATGGCACATGTTGAAAGGTGTTTATTTATATTGTCG